ACCAAGCTCACCAAACCCAAGCTGGCCCTTCAAGGAAGCGACCAGCTGGTGAAGCGCCAGTTCAAGCTCTGCGCAGGAGGCGAGATCGGTTTCATCCCCATGAAATACCTGGTAAGCGCACTCCCGGAGCCAGGAGAACGGCCATGGAAGACCACTAAGAAGAGCACGGTTGATGGCTGGGACCGGGAGGATGAGGTGGAAGAGCGGGGCGAGCCCAAAACTCGCCACCAGCTCGAGAGGATGCACGCGGTGTTCCGCAACACCCTCCTCATGTGCGTCCTCTCGTTCCCGCAGTTCGGCCAGTTCGACATCACCCGGGAGGACTTGGAGAGCTGGTACGAGTGGTTCTATGGTGAGGACATCGGGGGCCGTTTTCCCCCGCCAGAGGACCACGTCCTGGCAATTGCCGAACGCAACGCATGGCGAAAGATTCACGAGAAGATGCATGAGGGCAACACCCTCAAGGCGGCCATGCTGTCGGTCAGGCAGGACACATTGTTCTGGACACGTGAGGTCTATGAGAAGATCAAGACCTTTTCCAGGGGCCGCCCATCAACCAGGACATCCATGGACTACGCACCACCTCAGAAGGGCAAGAACAAGTCCAAGGGCAAGGGGAAGTCCAAGGGCAAGCCTGGGAACAAAGGGAAGGGTAAGACCCCCCACCTGAACAATCAGGCGTCCCGGGGCGGTAACAAGCAGGCAGCCACCGACCCGAAAGGGAACCAGTTCTGTAACAACTGGATGCGCGGGCGCTGCCCGGGCAACTGCGGCCGCACCCACAAGTGCAACCTCATCCTGGCAATGGGCCGCATCTGCCTGGGGGACCACCTCCCGCAGGACTGCCCGGGTTGACTAGGGGCGCTGACCCCTACCCCCCGGGAGGCCTCAGGTGCCGAGGGCCCTGATAAGGCCCGGGGGGGCGAGAAGGGGCGCAAACGCCCCAAGCAGGCACAGAAGCCCCCTCCTGCAGGTGCCGAGGGCCCTGACACAGGGGGGGGACAGGCCAGGTGGCGGCCATCCTCGGCGGAACAAGGATGGGGACGGCAGAACCAGCGTGCACAACGCCCTCGCCGTGATCAGAACAGCCACACAACCGGCACAACGGCGGCGCCTCAGTCCCGAGCCACAGGTGCCGAGGGCCCTGATATGGCGGGGACGGGACGGTTCCCCGCAGGTGCCGAGGGCCCTGACACGGGGGGCCGCACCCAGAAGGCCCGAGTGCCGGATGACTGGCAGCACACCGCAACGCCAAGGGACACTCCCAGGAAGCAGCCGATCCCACTTCCGGCGCCCAACATCATCAAGCAGGACCCGGTGGTTTTCCACAAGAGCTCGGTGGGGCTGAATGAAGGGGGCCAACGCCTTTCAGCTACCCCCCTGACAAGTCCAACGGAGCCGTCACCGGGATTGGACATCTTCCCGTGGATGGAGAACATCCCTGAGCGTCTGGTACAGCGGCTGAGATGGACACAGGGCACATCGCCCAAAGTTCCATCCAGTGGGCCCATCATTGTCCTGCTCTATGCAGGCAAGGAAGACCCAACTTCCTTGGACAGCTGTCTTCATGCCAACTACCCACACCTTTCCAGCATGGTGGTGGCGGTAGACATCCTACGGTCTGGACCAAAAGGGGACCACGATATGCTCCAACCCGAGCTGTATGGAGCTCTTTGCACGGCAGCAAAGCAGGGCCGAGTGGTCTTCATTGGAGGAGGACCCAACTGCAGGACATGGTCCATCCTGCGCCACATACCAAAACCGGGGGCTCCCACCCCGGTGCGAGGGCGCACTCCAGAGACACTTTGGGGCCTTCCACACCTGGACCAGGCCGCCCAGACTCAACTTGATGATGACAGCATCCTCATTCTGAGACAGATGTACATCACCAGCCTGGCAAGGGCCTCACGAGCGGCGGTTTCTCTGCCAGGGCCCAGGTCCTTCCTGGAACACCCGGAGGACCCAGTGGTGAGCAGCTCGCTGCCCAAAGCCAAGGAATGCTCATCCTTCTGGATCACAGAGGAGGGGCAGCTTTGGATGGAGGAGAACTCCTTGACAGCAATCTCCTTCGACCAGTGCCGCCTGGGCCAGCTGGTCAAGAAGGCCACTACGCTGGCCACGGATCTCCCGATCCAGGACTGGGATCAAATGCGGTGCACGCATCAGTCACATGTGGGCACCAACGAGTCCTCGACTCTTAGCAGATACCCTTGGGATATGATGGCAGGCCTGGCCAAAGCCATCGCTGTGTCACTCGCAGCGCCGGGGCACATCCGGATCCCCTCACAATTTCCGGGAAACCCCAAGGAACCACCTAAGGGGCGGGGGTCGGACCCCCCAGAAAAACGGGGGCCCAGTCAAGGAGGCGGTCCCTCCTCATCACACCAGGGCTCAAAGCCCGGAGGCAAGAATGCCCCGAAGCCCCGCCTGCACGGGCAGTTCCCCCCCGATGGCCGGAGATGCGGAACAACTGGGGAAGGAGGGACAGGGGGACCAGGTCCTGGACCGCCCCGAATGCCTGCCCGCTTTCAGGGTCCCACACCTCACTGACCGGGTGGCGATTGTCCAATTGGGTTTCCGCTCACGCCCCCTGAGGGATGGGGGGGGAAAACCTTCCCTAGGGAAGGCTCTTCCCCCCTTTGGGCGCCCTGATCATGACCCTTACCCGGCCCTGGATTGACAAGGTCCGAATGTCCCTGGCATCAGGTGCCACCACACACCCCTTCCAGGAAGCCGACCTCGAGGAGCTGCGGGCTATCCTAGGACCGAGGCACCTCCATGAACGATGCCCAGGCCTGGACTTAGTGTCGCACTTGGCATCCCTTTCAGGTGACCCTGATTGGGAGTTCCCCCTAACACTGAAAGAGGGGGTCCCCTTGAAAGTCTCGGACCCTACCTTGACCTCCCCGGGAGTTTGGCCCACTAAGGAGGAGCTTAAGGGAGAAGCCTGGCTGGGGGAAGATCCCCCCCCGCCAGTGGCTCATGATAACTACCCAACGGCTGAACTCTTTGCCAAGGAAATCGAATCAACCTTTTACGAGGAACGAGCCTTGGACATGGTGGACGGGCCCTTCACTCGCTCCGAGGCGGCAGAGAGGTGCCGCTGCAAACCGGAGGAACTTTGCCCGGGCCCCCTTGCAGGGATTGATGAGTCGGACAAGATCAGGACGATCTATGATGGCTCAAAAGGGGGAGCAAACGCACACATCCAGGCTCACACGGAGGAGAAGACCACCGCACCGATGGTTGGAGACTGCCTCCATGCCATCCACTGGCTCAGGACAGCGGCGGACCATCCTCATCTACTCCGAGCCCCATCCTCGGGCACTGATGAGGAACCTCGGGATGTTCACCAGCCGGTGCAGGGGCAGTCCCCAGGTCGGGGGACCCCCACAGCACCAGCCTGCAGTCCCCAGGTGCCGAGGGCCCTGAGAGGGACCCCCACAGCACCAGCCTGCCCCCAGGTGCCGAAGGCCCTGATAGGGGCAGACCTCCGGCGGCCTGGACGTCTCTCCGCGGTCAACACCCTCAGAAAAGGGGCCACTCCCAGGTGCCGAGGGCCCTGATAGGAGGGCCCCATTCCCCCCAACCCTGCAGGCACGGAACGCCCTGGGGGGAGCAGGGGGGAACCCCTGACGTGGCAGCCGCCGACACAGGGGGAAACCTTCATCATCCTCAAGGCGGATGTCACCAAGGCCCACAGGCGCATAAAAGTGCTCCAGAAAGACTGGAAATACCAGGTGGCCTGCATCCAGAACCGGTGGTGGGTCAATAGAGTGGGCACGTACGGCATGGCCTCGGCACAACTGTACTGGGGAAGAAAGGCATCCTTGGTGCTCAGACTCTTGTACTACATCTTCCCTCAGGTGGACTGGCACTTAGTCTTTGTGGACGACTACTGCTGGGTCCTCAGATGCAGCAGGGCGGACTGGGACGCCACAGCCATCCTGGCCACTCTTCTGCAGGCGGACCATGCATGGGTTGGTGGTTGGTGCTCGGACGTGCCCAACCCCGACAAGTCCCGAGTGAAGTGGTTCCAACACAGAATCACACCGGAGGGCGAGCCGTGGGCCTTCACTACTGGGGACCCGCAGCGGGCGATAGCGGCCTTGGAGCTCTTCGGCCTCCTCCTTTTGGTGAGGGCTGTTCTGCTTTGTGCAGCCGGCTCGGCTTCTCACACTAGGATTCTGGTTGCTAGTGATAACCAGGGAAACGTTTTCTCCCTGCTTAACGATTCCACTCGCAGGATGCCCAATGCGGCCATCCTCATGGAAATTGTGTTAACACTGCATGACCACCAGGTCATGTTAGGACCGTCGCATGTGAAGCGCGACTTTAACACATGGGCGGATGAACTTACTCATCCGGACCCGCAATTTCCGACTGAGAACCGGGTCTTCCCCTCAGTCGAAAGCGAATTGATCAAGCTGATCTTCGCTACTTTCCTTCCTCACCCATGATGCCGGGAGGGCATCCGGTGAGGTGGGAGGATTCCTCCCTCGCTGTGGGAGTGGCATCAATTCTACTCCCATCAGCTGCTGAGGGGAGCTGCCCAGTGGAGCTGGGCAATCCTCCCATTTTGGCACTAATCCTTATGCGGCGTAAAGGATGCACCGTTTCGCGATTAAGGTACCAGTAGCACCAATGTGGTGCTTTGAAGAGTCCGGGGCATGTCACTCCCTTTGGCCATCCGAATTCACACTTACCATTCTTAGCATTACCTTTTTGCCCTTAGAATGTTTCCTGTCATTCCAGCTTGAGTTGGGGGACAACGTGAACGCTAGTGCCTAAGCACGAAGACATCAATGTAGCACACATACTGTGCAGACATCTTATGCACATGTACGTCTCTGATTTTCTCTCTCCCTCTCCCGCTCTCTCTATCTCTCTCTCGAATATATATATATATTATTATATTATATGTATATATATATATATATGTGCCCCGGCTTCTGCACCACGCTTCTGGGGTGGGCAATCGCAATTTGCAAAGCCACGAGGCCGCGAGAGAGAACCATCCAGGAGGCTTGGAGGGGGGTGCTGCACAAGATGGTTTCCACTGGCCGCAGACCTTTGCCCCCAGGAAAACTCGCTGGTGCTCAGCAGGAAATGAGGGAATAGCCCTTACACGCCATCCCTTGTGGTTTTCCTTTAATGGGACCCCTGGGTTCATTCCCTCATTCCCTGCTGAGCACCAGCAAGGAAATGGGGTATGGACCCTTTTTTTTGTGGCTACATAGTGGCTGCATATCCCTGTACACCGCAGGGCCCCTGGAGTGGTGGTTCAGGGGTAGTGGAACCGTCTGATAAATTCCTACACCCTCAAGAACTGAGGTCTCCAAAAACGGCCGCAAGAAGAACGGAGAAAGACGGATGCTCCTCGCAAAGCAGGTGCTCCCATGATCTTTAGTGCGAGCTCACTTGGGGCAAAACAGGTTTGGAATTGTTGCTCTGCAGACTGGGTGGCAGTTCGTGTCCCAGGATTGGTTCCAAGTGGCAACGGATGGCAACGGATTCAATTGCTTTGATTCTGGAGATTTGTCCAAGCAACTCCAAGTTCCGCCTGTGGCAAAGGAGCTTGTCGTGAATGCTGGCAGAGAGTGCAATCAAGAGAAGCGTTTATTGGCTGCTCTTGAGTTTGACCTCCAAGCAGTAAACGGTTTGGCAAGTGTGTGTTTCTTCGGGAGGCAGTTGACCAGCCCTGTCTCCAGCGAGCAATGCTTATTTGGGAGTCACATTTAGCAAGGTCATATAGTGGCCCTTGCAACCATTGTGGGAAGGATCAATTGATTGCAACCGTTTTCATATCAACCAACGACCAAGGGCCAGGACCTAATTTCTCCAAAACCGCTAGCACAATTATACTTCCAACACACATTGAACACTACCTCCGCACAAAAAACAAAGTTAAACACCACGAGCAAAAACGTGTGCAGCAATTGCGGCAATCAAGCAGTAACGCCGTTGCAAAAAAAAAACAACGCACATCTCCCCTTGTTTTGAGTTGTGCCCCGCAGGAGCCAGGCTCTGATGAGGAGGCATTGAGCGTTCGGTCTCTTAGTTGCTTGCCGATTGTCCAGTTTGTGTTGTTGTGTTTTCGGCCATGCTCAAGTATTGCATGGCCTACATATTGCAATCAAAGGGAACAAGGACGCCGCACAATGTACCGTAGTTGACTGTAAGTTACCATTATGTGTTTTTTTTTGGGGGGGGGGTGAGTATTCTTTGGTTTGCTTGCAATGTTTGGGGCATGCACCATACCTACCCTCCCTTCAAGAAACATGGAGCTCCACAAGGCCCTAATCCAAGCGGGCAGTAGGTCTCTGGAAAAGAGATTTGAGTGCCCTTAGACCGGGGCGAATTGCCTTCACGAAGCTTGTGAGATTGCACATGTGCTTTTGATAAAAGATGAAGCTGTGCTTGTCAGAGTAATGTTTTTCGTGTGTATCTTGCACCACACTGATGGTTGCATGCCTTTCTCTTGGTCATGTCGCTCTATGAGGGGGGGGGTTGTCAAATGTGGGCGGGTCATGCACCTCTCTGCTTTCTGCTTCCTGAGACTTCAGGCAACGGGCCGCGACGGGTGCCTGGGGAAACCAAAGAGGGAACTGACCGATTCTGACTGTGTCACTTGCCCAAAGCGAAAAGCCAACCTTTTGACCTTTTGGCTTCCCCTTTTTGGTTTCCATTTTTAGTCATGGCCCCAAAAGGTGATCACCTTTTGTTTCTGGGTCCAAACTGGGCAACTCAGGACTGTGGCGATCCATTGGGTGCATGGGAGCTCCCCCATTGCTCAGCTGTGAGCCAGAGTCAGGATCACCAGCCGTGTGAAGAGGAGTTCTGTGGCTTTCAATGCGTGTTTAAAAACTGAGACGTTGCCTTCAAAACGTCTTGGGCTTCCCAAATCCCGGTCTTGTGTCGTGGGTCAAAATTAAACCACAAGGATATGGACCGCAGGTTTTGGTCCATGTTTCCATTTACTAAGGTTCCCTTTTGGGTACCCCATTTGACCCACGGCCATATGCGCTTCTGCTTCTCAAGGATTTCTCCTGTCAGGCACTCGATGCGAAATCCCTGGGTCGCAGTCGTCGACCCAGTTTTTGGTCAACTCGCAGGAACAAGTGCCGCTTTTCTGGGTTTGCGAGTGGCCTTGCCACGATCTGCGTCTTCAGTCTTCATTGTGCCCCACCCCACCCCACCCCGCCGCACCCCACCCCACCCCACCCCACCCCACCCCACCCCACCCCACCCCACCCCACCCCACCCCACCCCACCCCACCCCACCCCACCCCACCCCACCCCACCACCCCACCCCACCACCCCACCACCCCACCCCACCCAGGACGCGGCTTATGCGCAACACACCTGCACACCTGTGCACTCTCGCACCCAAACACCCCTACCCTCCTAACTGGCCACACCCAGGCACCCATGCTTGCACACCACTTTTACCATGCGAGCGCAAATGCCTAAAGCAAGACACAGTGTGGTTTGCTTTGTATTTGTTTGCTTTCTCAGCAAAAGATTCAGGCAGGTTCTCTAGAATGGGACGCGCGTGCCGTCAGGAATGGGAAGAGCCCAACGTCCCAGGCGGGAGAAGTGGCATCCTCGCCGGTGAGTCAAAGCGAGCTGGTTCCAAAATGAGCAACCCTGGCCCGGGCCGGGGACCATTTTTCTTTGTCAGGTGTCAGCCACTGGTTTCACGCTGGGACAGAGTTTGGGTACAGCACCTACAAGTCACTGGTGTTTCAACGGCATGTGACATTTGCTTATGTATGACTTGTGTGTGTGTGTGTGTGTTCTGATGATTATGTCGAGTCGTGCTGTTGATTTGCATGCACGTGTGTTCTTTGAATAGAGGAAAGTCCCTCCGCGGACGACACATTCCAGAAGCTGGACATGTCCGTTTTCAGTGTTAGGAGAAGTTGAAAGCAATTTATCATAACGGGGCAGTATTAGCCACTTCGGACTCCCACTTGTGTGGAAGCCAGTAGTGCAAACCGCTATGGCGAATCGTTGGAACATATTTTTCTTGCTGGTGCAAGCCGCCGGGAATGTGGGAACGAACCCAGCGGTCCCCTTCAAGGACACCCCCTGGAGGGTTTAATAGGGGTCATTCCCTCAGTTGTTCAGTGGCACCCTTTTTCCCTTGTTCCTTTTTTTTTTTAGTGGCTGCCCCACTAAAAATTCTAAGCCACACCACCCCATTCTGAAGAGCTAACCCAATTTTCCCCCAAAATGGATGCAACAACAATTGCCATCGAAGCAGTCCACCCAAGCAAGGCTAAAACTCAACTGTTCCCATTCTCTCCCTTTGCCGACTCCCAGCAGCCCACCAGGCATCTCCCAAGCAGGGGCGGTCAGCCTTGCCCTTCTTGTTTTGCCCACATCCATGTCATGAATCATTGCCAAGGCGACACTGACAAACATAAAGCTCGTGGCTTCACGGCAAGCATTGAAGCACCCTCCTGATGGCACCGCGGGCCCCTCAGCAGCCAACCCACCAAAGTGGTGCCCGCGATCCAATTCTCCACAAACTTCCAATTCACTTCCTCATTCTTTCAAGGGGGGCCCACGCAGCAGCCCACGCAGCAGTTGTCATCACTTTCGGAAGGAAAGACGGAAATCCTAGAAAATTGGATGCTTGGAAAGAATGGGTTTTAACCGAAAATATGACCTCATACAATACTTCCCATTCTTTATGGTTTTCCAATTTCCACCCAAAACAGATGCAAAAGCAAAAATAATATAAACAGGGACACACTGATCTTTGATCGAAAGAACGATGCAGGGGGACAGAATGATGGGGTGGGGAAAGAAGGGAAACAATGATGGTTGTTGGGAAAGAACGATGGTTGGGGAAAGAACGATGGTTGGGAAAGAACGATGGCCCTGGGGAAAGAACGATGGTTGCAGGGAAAGAACAATGCCCCGGAAAACAGAACGCTGCCAGTAAGATCGATGGCCTGCAGCGGCATGACTTTGGCAGGTCAGGGGAAGGGGTTGTCTAGTCTATTGGCCCTACCGCTAGCCCGCGGGACAACTTTCTGCATGCGTCAGTGCTCGCTGCAGAAAACATCAAAAACTGAGCCGAAACCGGCTGGAAAGACCGATCGTTGCACTGAGTGCGCGTGTGACGAAAGAATGGGGAATCAACCCTTAGAGAAATGGTCTTCCCCAAGAAGGGTCCCCTTTTTTTCCAGGGTCGCTGAACAACTGAGTTCCAATTCTCATTCCCCGATTTGGCACCAGAGCAACACGATTTCTTCCCCGATTTCTGGGTGTCCATGACTTATCCGTCCGTAGGCGGGCCATGGCGTCGGCTCTCCGAGTGAGCATCTCAGAGATGCTCACTCGGTTCGCACGCCTGACGCCAGAACGGTGTCCTTTTGAGCGGTTAGTCTGGTTGGAAGATGGGTTCCACTGCTTTAGGTTGGTTTTATGCCCCATCTACGAGGGAAACCCATTTGGCCAGAGACAATTCGGCAGGGTGTTTCTGGCGCTCCTGTTGGGGTCTTTCCCTTGTCCATCGTGCTCAAAGTTGACACTCCCAACATGAAAGAACTGCGCGCCCATGCGTCCACTGCTTTTTTATGATCACCGAGGAATAGGAGCTCGATAGTTGAATTCTATTTATTTGGGTCGTTTGCAGCTGGCCTCATCTTCCATGTGTCGCGTACCTGACCCAGCACCGATGGCTCTCTTGTTTTAGGTGGCTTTGTGCGGAAAACCAAAAAGACCATGTGCTCCTGGTATGTCTTTTTTGTTTGTGAAGACAGAGAAACACACATATAAATAAATAGACAAATAAATATGTAATTATATACGTACAAGTATAAATGCTATTGAAATAGAAGCAATCAAGAATCATGTGATGCCATAAGGAATTGCACCATGCAGCAGATCATCATTTGATAGTGAATATACTATTCTGAGTAGGGCACAGAAGAAGGATTGGTTCCCCTACGGTTATGACCCGCATCCAAGAAGGAAAGCGTCTCTCACTCAATGGTCGCATTGCTGGTGTCCGAAAACAAGAAAGGATATGCTGCAGGTTCAACATGTCCCCGCCTCCCCCCGCCCCCATCCCCGCAACATCCGCTTTCGAGCCCAGATTCGCAAGGTTAATATAACAAGTGCACGATTCCCTCGCTCTCGAACAATAAGGAGGCTGAACAAACCAACATGTCGTCTTCTACTTTCACCCTTTTGTACTCAAAGTGTCCTTACTAAAGTTTCATTCCCTGAGTTTGTAGACTTAAACATTTTGGGAGTACCATTGTTTGTGACAAACAATGAGTTTCCGGTATTTTTGGGGCTGCACTCAGCTGAGTCTTTTCAGTAGATCGAGAGGTTCCAACCGCTGGCAGCCGGCACCTCCGTGGTCTTCGACAGCACGCCGCCGCTCGGCTGCCACGCTCTCGCATCGGAATTCGGAAGGTTCGGCAGGCGAGTGGGGTCTGATTTTAGCATCAAAAGGCTCCCATTGAAGAAGGATTCTGCAGAAGAAAAAAACAAGTAGCAGGCCTCAATTCCCTTTCTAGGTCCCCCAGTAGTGCCCCCTTTCACCCTGTTTTGGGGGAGGGTTCCCCTACTAAAAGAGAGTACAGAAAAAAGAAAGGGTACCAACTTATTCTAACCTCTGAAGGACCCAGAGGTAGCGGGCCTCAATTCCCTTTGTTTTGGGCCTCCAATGCCTTTGCTTTGCGCGGGACTGGGCTGGAACCTAGGGGTGGGGACTGAGAACCTTAGGTTTGGCGACTGGCCTCAGATTTTGTGACCGTACGCCGATGGAACCACTGGGTACAGTTGTCCGGATTCCGGATACTGAGAAAGTGTTACTTTAGGGGTTTAGGGGTGTAGGGGTTGTGAATTACTTTTTCAACTATGACCAAATTATGAGCAAGTGACCATATGCGACTGGGTGGGTGCCCTTTGCAAGGGCTTCCTTGTGACCCGGCGAAAGGTTTGGATGACAAGGTTGATTGAAACGGCCCGCTTCTCAACTTTAGTATTATCAAAAATAGAATCGACTCAGATCGACGCCACTCGAATTGGCCATGTTATTTCAAGGACCGCCACAATCAGCAGCACCCATTTTCCCAAAAAGTCGGCCGATTGTGTGAGGCAGGTCCCGAGTAAGTGGATATTACATGGTTGTTGTTGGGAAACATTTTACATGTTTGCTTACTGTGGTTCCGTGGGAAACCCCCACTTAACTGCTAAGATTCAAACATTGTTGCTCCCTTCCAACATCAACCAAGATTATAGTGCGGCACAAAACGTCCCAGCAAATTGTCGAAGCCTCAGTGAATGCAGGGTGCGCCACCCTTCAGCTAGGGCAGTGGGTTCCACAAGTGGTGGTTATTTTGCTGGGTAGGATGTGCGTTTGAATTGAGCATATTGAGCCAACAAAAACAGGGCGTCCGGTTTCCATCAGAGGCTACTGTGAGAGCAAGCGGCTGTGCCTATACCAGAGCTCACTTGCTTGAGTCATCTCATGTTGGGAGGTTCGATAAGCTGGCAGGTTTCCCTGTGGTTTTAGGTTTCGGTTTCCGGAGACGTGCCCTTAATTTGCATCACGTACCACCCATTTAGTCAGGGTACAACTCTTGAACCTTTGAAAATCACATCCAAAGAGTGTCCTCATATCCTTTGAAGTGAATTTGGAGACACCGAGGCATTATGGCCGTGTTTATCCTGGACACTTGGACAACATGTACTTGGTGGAAGCGCTGAACGTGTGGCTGGCGCAGGTTAAAGATGTATGATGTGGTGAAGCAAAACCGGAAGATGACCTGGCTCAAACCCCCAAAAAAAAGAAAGCCAGCAGGAAATCGGGCTTACTCACCATCCAATGTCATGGGACACAACGAACATTGCAACATTGAAACTCACCCGTGGTTGTGATCCCACAGACCCAAGACGGCTCGGGGCTGGGGGCTCAGGGCTCGGAATCTTCATGGCTGGGTATCCGCTTTCAGTTTACCCATCAAAGTTGGTTTGGCCAGGAAGACTCTGTTCCATTCGCCTTCACGGGGTCGGTGCACTTTCATGTTGGACGGGTGGCCGCTCAGTGTTGCGCGGCATGGCCTTTTTTTCCTTTTGGCGGGGTTCAAGTGACAGTGGAAAGCCACTGGCAGTGGCAACATACCAGCTCTGCAAAATCAAGAATGGAACCTTCCCTCTGCTTCCAGTGACCTCTATAGGTGACCACTGTAGGTTTTGTATCATGGTTTCCCCTGGTTGCCTACCAATGGAAAAACTAGAAATGCGCAAAAAGCCAGAACCAGGTTGAACCATAGTGGCAGTCTAACCCTGATCCCTGTGTAACAAGCAATTTTGTTGTTTGTGTTCAAAGGGTTGTTCCTTTGGTCACCTAGATCACTGAGCTTTTTGTTTTTTGTTTAGGACCTATCTGATAAATGCTCCGTTGGAGTGATTTCTTCTTTCTGACCTCCCGGGCAGTGGACCGGCATCTTGGAACGGCTTTCTGCACATGTCCATCGTCTCAAAACAAACACAGAAGCAAGCAAGCATGCATGCATGCATACGTACAAACGTACAGTTACATTCGTACCTACGTACATACGTACATACGTAGAAATGTATATACATACGTACATATGTACATACGTACGTAGACATGCGTACTTACGTACAGAACAAGCACATACGTACATACCTACATACCTGCATATCCACATACCTACATACATACGTCCATACGTGCATACCTGCATACCTGCATACATACATGCGCACAGACAGACAGACAGACAGACAGACAGACAGACAGACAGACAGACAGACAGACAGATGGACAGATGGACGGACAGACAGACAGATAGACATACAGACAGACATACAGACAGGCAGACAGACAGACGGACAGGCATACAGACACACAGACACACAGACAGACAGACAGACAGACAGACAGACAGACAGACAGACAGACAGACAGACAGACAGACAGACAGACAGACAGACAGACAGACAGACAGACAGACAGACATACAGACAGACAGACAGACAGACAGACAGACAGACATACAGACATACAGACATACAGACAGACAGACAGACAGACATACAGACATACAGACATACAGACATACAGACATACAGACATACAGACAGACAGACATACAGACATACAGACATACAGACAGGCACACAGACAGACAGACAGACAGACAGACAGATGGACGGACAGACAGACAGACAGATAGACATACAGACAGACATACAGACAGGCAGACAGACAGACGGACAGGCATACAGACAGACAGACAGACACACAGACAGACAGACAGACAGACAGACAGACAGACAGACAGACAGACAGACAGACAGACAGATAGACAGACAGACAGACAGACAGACAGACAGACAGACATACAGACAGGCACACAGACATACACAAAAACATAAGCAAACACGTTCTGTGTCTAGCAACAAAACGGTGGTCATTTCTCCCATGGCAACTGGCGTTCTGAAATTCCTTCACCCCAAGTTGTGGCGGGCCAAATGAATTTGAGTTCGAAAGCTGTGGATCTATCAGGCCATATCTCTGCGGCCCAAGCTGGCGAAGCAATTGTTCCTGTGCTATGACCAGCAGCCCCTCGTCGCTGGCAAGGGTGGGGCTGGTGAAAACAACCAGCCGGTGCTCCCCGCAGGGCAGCTGGGAGGTTGATTGAACTGTGGCTTGTTGAAATGCCCAACAAAAGCTTAATTCCCCGATCGACCAAAGCTTCAACCACCCCAATGGAGAAATATCCTTATGGCCTCCTTCTTGGGTTCAGCTAATCATAGAGCCCTCAAACATGGATGGAACATGTTCGTCATGTTCAAGGGAGCCCTAGATTCGTTCAGCTGTATCCAAAATGCTTCTTGCGGTCTGCTTTGGAGTCATAAGCAGTTTCATCATCCTGCTGGCCGCTATGGCTGGAAGATTGCTGAACAGCAGGCAGTCATTTCCTGGTTTGGGGTAGATTCTCGATATTGCCCCCCGTGATTTGAGTCACAATGAAGCCCTCAAGTTTGATCAGACTTCTGGTCCATCCGACTTCTGGAGGCCGGATTTCCATTGCGCTTTCCCTCCAGTCTGGAAGCTGATCAGGGAGTTTTGGAGCTCGTCCCAAGCAGGTCGCTGTGTCTCTATTCGACAGCGGGCTGGGCGGGGTTGGGACAAGTGGGGTGCAGAGGGAACCCCATTCAGCGCCGCCTTTGAACGGTGTCCAAGAAGGGGTCCACAATTTTGACAACCCCCAACGAATCTTTGTAAGGGAGCGTTTGGTCCTCATTAAATTTGAAAATGAGTTTGATACCGACCACCGAGTTCTTGTTGGGAATGGTTGGGAGGGTCATGTCCATATCATATTTCCTACTAAGAACAAGCAAATCATGGAAGCCGTAAACCAACAGGTCAAACAAAGGTCACAACACGCTTCGATGGAAAGACTGGGTCGCTGCAAAGAGACCTGTTCGTGCAGTCACGCAAGCTGATCCGTGATCGTTTCTTTCGGCGTGCATGCCCCATTCGCCCGGTGGCCGGGATGGGTTTGCTTTGAACGTGACTAGGTTTTTTCAGTGGCGCCCTTTTACCCTTGCCGGGGGCAGGGTTCCCCTACTAAAATAGATTACAGAAGAAAAGTTGGTACCCGTATTCTACCCTCTCTACTGGAGGACCTAGATGAAGTACCTCAAGTGCCCTCTCTTGTTCGGAGAACAAGTGAGAGGCACGCCGTGCCTGCTTTTCGCAGCTTTGAGGCGGGCAGTATACATTTTGCGGCTGTTCAAGAACGGCATATGGCTGAAGGTGGAAGTGGCGCGAAGCTCAAGGTGAGCGAAGGGGGCCGAAGGGTAATCAAGTGCCAGTGGGGCACTCAGATCTTTGGAGGAGGCTGCGCGTTTCACCAGCCGCAAGGGTCTAAACACTTTGGGGGGTGGGGTACCTAATCAAGCCGTGATCAGAAGAGCATGATCTTCCATTTAAAGAACATGTGATTTTCCCCTGTTGGTTCTAAAGAGAGTCTATCACTACTGGATTTGAGCTTTATGTTTTCCAGGGGACGGACAAGCAAATGGAGGTGATGTTTGCTGCACATACTTCCTCATTTCAGGCGGGGAAGTCGGATATGTTGCATGGAACCCCTTTCGTTTTAGCTGCAGCTCAAGGAGAAGCTCGATGTGGGGACTCGACACACGAAGCACTTGCTTTAAAGACGACTCTTTGATGAGTAAGTTCCCGATTAGCCCAATGTTGGCATGACTGTCATGGGGTGATTTTCCAGACTTTGACTTGCCGCATCCCTTGCAAAGAGAGAGAAGATGTCACATGTGTCACCTAGTGAAACTCGAAGTGGTTTACGCGTAGCTACGGCGTAGCAATGGGCAAGCGAGAGCTCATCAATGCCCACTTGCCCAAAGCGAATCAACCTTTTGACCTTTTGGTTTCCCCTTCTTGGTCCATTTTTAGTCATGGCCCCAAAAGGTTAACCTTGTATTTCTGGGTCCTTTGGGCAACTCAGAATGGTGATGGGCTCACGTGTTGATTTGATGATGTCCGCCGAAGGGCCCGGAATCAAGATGCGCGCAGTGACAAGCTTCACACCCAAATGGCACAGATGATAGATCTGCCTATTGAGAGTTGAGAAAATCCGCAGGTCAGGGGTGCTCACTATGATGTAGGTCCTTTACTTGGGGATTCCTTATGTCTGGCCCTGGAGGTATTTTAAAGCTTGAAATGGGAAAAGAGTGCTGCCTATTAAAAAAACTTGTCCTTTTTCGGCACTTTTTGGTATTCCCACTGTAAAACGGGTTCGGGAGGGTTCGGGGGGTTCGGGGGTTCACCCATTTTTGGGTTCACGCGTGTCCTTGGTTTCTCCAGGGTCATTTTCCGGGTCCCAAGAGGTCTTAAGGTCCATGGGGCTAAGCTGTCCCCATGGCGGTCGTAGTTGGCGAATCACTTGCTCCCTCCCACCACAGCAACCTGCGGGAAGGTACTTGGAAGATCTGTTTTTTTTGAAGGGACCCTTAGGTGAAAAGCTAGTGGGAGAGAGGAAAGCAGGCCATTTGAGAGCCGTTTTGCCGCAAGCGCGTGCGCTCACTCGCCTGACACACCGAGGATGACTATGTGCCCGTTGTGGACGGCGACCCTTTGTGCTGTCGCCGGGGAGCCCAAAACCGCTCGGCCAAATTCCCCGTGAAGTGATGCAATTTTGCCCGCAGAAAAGGACACCTGGAAGTGAAGGGCAAAGCCGGGTCTTTCCAACAACGCAGCTGAACTGGGTCTTTGGATGGTTTGGGTCCGAAGAGCGTTTTTTTTTTTTAAATTGTTTCCAGGGATCTTGCGCTGCAATTCGTTTGTCGTCCCAGCCTGATATTGGTTCCAGAGGTCACGGATCGTCTCGGTGTCCTTTAGGCGGCAGGCTGGTTAGACCAGTCCCAAGTTTGTCATAGGTGTTCCGCCGAAAGCCCTGCCATCCACTTACGTGGAACTTGAAAGCAGTGCGTGGGGGCTAGAAGAAACTTGTTATCCTCTTGCAGGGGCCCTGTGAGAGAAATGTGAAAGTGGGTAAGACTGTTTAGTTATCGCTGTTCATGGGGTTCCGACAAGTATCGCAGAAAGTTAGTTATACCACCAGGTCCTACAACCGAAAGTATGTTTTAGAAATGTGCATATATATCTAACGAACCGAAAGTACGTAAAAAGGAAAAACAACCACTTTACGCCGCCGTCTCAACCTCAAGCCGACTCGAGGACAAGCCCATGGTGAGCTTGATATCTGATATCGGAAGTTGTGCTCAGCGTTGGGCTTGTCCAAAGTAGTATAACTCAGGGGTTGCCGGATTTCCCGCTCCAAAAGTTGATCAGTTTACTGGCGGTGTCCATTGAACTCCCCACTTTTGGAGGTTTTCTAAAGAGAAGGAAGATGGAGTTGCAACAGCCAGTAGCTCACCACTCGAGCTTCATGGCTGGTTGGTCCGCGAAACCAAGCTGAAGCCTGGGGCTTCTAATCCCAGGCTTCGACGGGTAGCCCATGGACGAAAGGAATCCACTTCGCACCGTTCAGATGGCTTCTGATTCGACTCCCCAAGGAACATACCAAGAAACCTTCTGGATTCAACCATGGTTTCAAGTGGTGCAAAAGGTCGGCTTCCCATCCACGGTAGGTCCGTCCTTTTTGGTGGTTTCGGTTGAGAAAGAGAGGGCGATGTCCGATTTCTGGTATCATCTACCGGGGCTTCCCCATCCATTTCTCGAAAAGGAGGGCGATGGTCCTGCCATTCTCAGGGGCTAGAGGATTGGGCACGGGCTTAGCGCCCGCCGGTCGATCGAAATGAAAAGCAGAGGAACTTCCAAGGCGTTCCGTTGGGCCTTGGCATGGACTCGAGTTGTTGTTTCTTCTTCTTTTATTATGGGTGAGAGAGAAGAAGAGGTTACCCTAATAAGAAGTATCAAAGGACATTTCGGGCAAACGTCCATGTTGCCAGAGTCGAAGAGTCAGCAATCAATGTCTATCCTGAGGCACTTCCCACTTTCCCCCGCTTTACCAGAAGGCAACATTGTCGCAAGAATCAAATTCGAGCAACTTGCACAGTTGCTGGCAGTATCTCGTCTTGGTTCGGTAGAACATGGGGCCCACCCCTATTTTTATCGTGGGGTTCCTGGGGTTTTCTCGGCACCGGCTCAAAGGCAACGCAGCGCCCGAGGCTCTGAGAAGTTTCCCCACGTGCTTTGGCACAGCCGGCCAGTTGCCTGCCAGTTGCGTCTTTGGCTAGGTCCCCCAGCTAGGTGCCCGTACTCACCCGTGTTTTTGGGTTGGGAGGGTTCCCCTACTAAAACAGACTACAGAAACGGGGTACCCTTATTCTAACCTCTCTACTGGAGGACCTAGTCGTTGTTGCGCACCAGTTTGCGTAAACTCAGTTCGAAGAAGAACAGGCCTGGACCTTCAATGGCACATATCAATCTTGCTGTAAGCTCCGCCAAATGGAAACTGGACCAGGAGCCCACAGGTTTGAGGTTGTTAGATTTTAGACTATGAGTGACATCCGTCCACCACACCCAGCCCGCCCGACAGAGCCTGTGACAAACAGCTGCGACAGAGTGTCACACAGCTGTGATAGACAGCTGTGACAGAGCTTATGGCTTGTGGCGGACAGCTGTGACAGCGCGAAGCCCGAGGCTCCCGGCGGCCGGGCCAAGCCGCAGCCCAAAGTCGTGGTCCATGACACCGCCGGGCCAGCCGAGACAGTCGCTGAAGCCATGAGCTTGCCACACATCTTCCGAAGGAGGTGGGCCCCCATTCAAATCAGGATTAAGGCCTCGTTTTGGAGAACAAACGCTTCGGACATCATGTGGCGCGATCTTGGGGCGGTGTGTCCTTGAAAGAACCGGAGTGCCCCCGACAAAGAGAATCTTCATCCAACAGGAAGCGTGATTTCGGTAGCAGCTCAGGACACAGTGTGGCTGCAGTTTGGCTTAGACAAGCAACTTTCTTCGGCGGGGATTGTTCGGAGTAAAGCCATTTTTTAGCTACACCCCTTTATATTTATCTCAACAGTTTGTCGCCTGCATATTTGATGGAGGTTTAGGCACCCTATGTCTCGGTAGCGTCTGATGCAATCCGCCTTCGGCCTGCCAGGCCATCCTTGGTGGAGAAGGCTTACGCCAAGGCCTGTCTCTGCTCTGGGCTCGCTTTGCTTGTCTTTTCTTGATGAAGGTGGTTTTGAGAGCATACTCGGGCTTTCATTTTTTCGGAGAACTGGGCCTTTTTCGGTGTTTGTTTTCAACCCAGCGAAACCACCCTGTTGTGGGATCCCCACACCCAAAATTCATTGGATTCAAACCCCGCCTCATCCACTAACTCCCTGGTTCTCCAAAGTCCTTTGCAGAGCCCCCAGTTAGGGTCCTACTTTGGGGAAAGAAGGGAGGGGGGGGCTGGTTAGGGTTGGGGGGTTGGGTGTTCAGATGTTTAACTTCTTTGGTCACAACTGCTTCATGTTAATTTCAAGGTTAGTTTTTTTGCCTATGATGTTCAAGCAACACCACGCTGGCAGTTCGTTTGTAAGTACGGGCATGCAAGGCGCAAGTTCCCGTACCAATGCGTCTTGGGGAGCACACGGGTTCTCGACGCGACACATTTGGGAAGTACGTTATATCCACTGTTAGAAGGAAACCACTCCACGGTTTTCCTTATTACTAGGTTGAACTTGTGCGCATGTGAACCACGGTCAAGCAGTTCCGTCATTTCGGTCTTTCTTGTCTCGATATGTGTTTTATGTGTTGACTCTGCGGTTCTTTTCGTGTTTGGTTGTTCTCCTTTGAATCCAGCCTCCTTTGCATACGGGCTATAGTTCAACTCAGTGGAGCACATCCAGCTGTGGAGAGTCTTTCAGATGTCTCCGAAACGGTTGGAAACCACTTATCACCAAAACACACTCAAACTTGAAATCCAGTTTGCACCAAACACAAATCGCGCCACTTTCTTTTTGTTGTGAAAGAACCATGAAATGATTGTCTGAACTTCCTTCAAGGCTTCCGGCGAAGAATGCCTCCTCTCGTGGTTTTTTGGCTGCCTTTCCTTCAAGGCTTCCTTGACTGCTATTGGCTTGGATCTTTGGACTTTGATTTTGTGTTAAACCCCCCAAAAGAAAGGTAAACTTTTTGCAGGGGGGGGTCGTTACAGCAACCAATCGCGGAATGCTCCACACGCCAGGTCTGCACGTTGCGGGACCCCAAGCCTGCGGAGAACAGCGGGGGCTGGCTGGCGGCCCGGGAGCTCAAGAGTGTGGCTGGCTCGCCAGCCGTTTTAGATATGGCTCGTTTCTTGTTTTTTTCTTTTGGGGGAGGGGTCCATTTTTCGTTGTTTGTGTTTGTGTGTGTTTTTTTTTTGGGAGGGGTCCATTTTGCGTTTGTTTGTGTTTGTGTGTGTGTTTCTATTTTTTTGTGGGGGGCTATTTTTTTCTGGCGGGGTTGGTTTTCAAGAAAACCAGCTTTGTAGAGATGGCTGTATGGCTGTGAAATTTTACATGCAGAATCAGAGTGGAGAATTCCGCTTTGAAGTCGAATCTTGGGCCCGGAAGTTCATGATGAGGTTTTACCTGGTTGCTACCTTTTCTTGCCAATCCGCCAAATGACCCCTGGTTCTGCATTATTGTACTCTTCTACTATAGGCAAGGAGAACGGACATGGACTAAAACCCTGGCTTGCTGGCAGGGTTTGCTGTTGGACTCCGGGTGAGAACTTTGGGTCTCTAAAAAAGACGGCGTTGGTTTCCCAACGACGCCGCTGTGTTCAGGTTGAGCCTTGCAAACATTGAGCCCGCGAAGGTCTGCTTGAGATGACTTTGCCCAGCTGGATGCCGGTCAAGCTGCTCGCCCCTTCTCCGGCTGGCCTCTTTGCAGCAACTGTTCAATCAACCTCCTGAAGGTTTTTATTAATGCTGAGGCCATTGGTTCCAACGTTAACTTGTTCACGGCAATGACCAAAGGTTCGACTTTCTCAGATGTTAAGGCGGGACGGCTATCGGTGAGTCGCTCAAAAATATGAGAGCCACCCAAACATGGTCGGTTGCCTGTTGGTTTCCCGAACGAAGAAGCGGGCTCCCCAAAAGAATAACACATCCAGTTCGGGGTGCGTGAGAGGGCTGCCAAAGGGAAACCACCCTGTTGCGGTGCCCTTGTTCAAAGACAAACCTATATTGGCAGAGTCAACATGTGCAGTAGTCTATGGTTCATTTGGCACAACACCCAAGGGACTTACCCCATGTAGATGGATATCAAAGTTTGACTGGCACAAGCCTCTTTCTTTGGCCTATATCCGCCAGATTGGTGGCGGCGGACACGTGGAGGACGCGCTCGCGGATTTGACCGGGGGCGTTGCCGGGCGCTTCTACACCGAAGATGCCGGGCGCGCAGAACTTGAGGATCCGAGCTTGGGTGGGTACTTGGTGGGTGGGTACTTGGTGGGTTGGTGGGTTGGTGGGTTGGTGGGTTGGGTGGGTGGGTGGGTGGGTGGGTGGGTGGGTGGGTGGGTGGGTGGGTGGGTGGGTGGGTGGGTGGGTGGGTGGGTGGGTGGGTGGGTTGGTTGGTTGGTTAGCCGCATCCCCAGCTTCACTTATCTGGGCCTGGGCCAGGCCAAAGGGCGCCCGCCTGTTGATGCGAGAATGGGCGAATGGGCGAAAGTCTCAAGATGCCCAGATTGAGGAACGGGGCTCGTCGCTGTCTTGGATCGAAATCACCAATCGCGCAAACCCAAGGGCCAACCTGGTTTTGTTGAGCCAGAAGTCCACACTTTGTCGCAAGTGACAGGGGATGCAGCCCTTTTCCGCCACCAAAAACCTTCTGAACAATCCAGCGACTTGCCAGCTAAGATTCAGGACATGGCAACTACGATTCTTAGAAGGGGCAGTCTTGAGTGTTAGAACCACTGCCATTTTGAGCTAAAGATATATACTTACATGACTGCCGATGGGTTTGGTGCTGAAGGTTTACCCTAAAGCGCCCACACGCGCGCTTGAAGTTGGTTTCCGTTTGAACATATTTTCCCCTTGATCCGAGCAGTGTCCATTTGGCCTTGCGTCAGACCTGCTGACGCTTAGTTTTGCAACTTCCAACTTCCAACGGCAATTGCCAAAGTTGTGGCCTGGCCTTTTTTGGTTTTTCCTGATGCCCAGGTCTCTCACGATCGTCTCTTCTTGTATTTGTACACGCTGCAGCGGGATGCGCTCTTCGTATGCCACGCGCCTTGCCCAGTGAAAAGCTCGAGCCGCGCTCCGGACTCGTGGACTCCAGGGGACGGTTAACCATGACCCATGGGCACATGCCGATCTTAGTTTGCCTTTTTTTTGGTTCCCAAGACAACTCAACCAACGGAACATGCGTGTCCATCTTTCTGAGGGGAAGCCATGAAACGTTTGACTCGGATGGTAGGAATTTGGAGCTCGTTGCAGTCGGCGTTCCACCTACTAAGTTGTAAGATATAAGCTTGAAGCAAGCGCAGCAGTGAAGTTTTTGTTGCTAGGGGCTTCCTTGTTTCCAGTTGATGAGATAGTTCCAGATCGGCTCTTAGCTCTTTGGTTCCACTGTTTGCTGAAATGTCGGAAGTGGGTGCTTTCAGCAGAGTCTTTCCACCCAAAGTTGGGCCCAGCGTTTGAGGGGTTCTCAGAATAATTACTTTTCGGGGTGTGTCTGAATCAGCCGAAACCAACCGCCAGGGCCCAGGATGGCTTTCCATGGTTCAAATTCTTTCAAGCGAAGGCAGGTGTGGGGCTTTGCGGCCTCACTCATGAAGGTTCCTGTTTTCGTCCAAATTATTCCAAGCTGAACAGAATTTCCAAGCACGCGTGACTTGAAAGTTACTTCTGGAGGATTCTTCTTTTTCGGGTACCCCCTTTTCGGGTTTTGATGTCAACCTGCAGACTACGTCACCCCGAACACGGATCCATGGGATCACTCGATCTAGCCCAGGTCAACGACGCCAAGTGCGCGAGGAAGGGCATCACGTTGAATGCGCGTCTTGGCACCGGACATGCGGCTTCCAACAACCGCCCCCCCCCACAAGGAAGTTGTTCAAACTGTGCCTGCCCGGGAAATCACAAGGAGGTTGTTCAATGGCTGCAATGTCATCAACATGTACAAAATCATTATCAATAACTGTTGCAACATGATTGGGCAAGGCGTCGGCCCAACCATGGCAAGGTATCATTTTGCAAAAGCTACCAGCAAAACAACCAGCGGGGGTCAACGTATGTTTGCTCCTTTGTTCTCCGGGTGGGCCCTTTGGCTTTTCAATGGCAAAAGTCGGATCCTTCTTTTCTCACGGGAAACCGCAGGCCAAGCATGTTTTTTTCCTGTATTTGTACGATGGTCAAAAGCCATGTTTTTTACTTCATAGCGGGTTTGTGGTGTGACCCAGTCGCCGTTCAGCAAACCTGGCTGCTCGACTGTTCGAACGCAATCCTCCTTGCCCTGGGTAACCAAAAGGGGCCCGCTTTGGGCATGGATTGGGATTGGCCAACCTTGATTTCGACAGAGGTCTCGAGACTTGGAGGTCAAAGGCTCCATATGACATGGCCATTTTGGACAAGGGGCCTTTGGGGGCTGATTTCCCACAATGAAGCCAGAACCAACGGAGAGTTCGCCCGTACACTAGGGGTTCGAAAAAAATACTTCAGAGGTAGTGGGGTTCATACATGGACGTACACGCTCAGCCTTTGATTACTGCAGGTTGGTGAGTCCGATGCGTCTATGATGTTTAGCTCCAAAAATGGTTGGTGGATGCAATTGTCGTTCAATGATGTCCCAATCAAATGTCACACCCTTGTGATGAACGGAAAGGCAGCCATCGAGGGGCCTAAGTTGAACGGCACATTGGAAGGAGATTGCAACTGTGGCGCTTCAGATTTGCGGAAGATGTCCTCACTTCCCGAGTTCCTGGACTTTAGTCACTTTTTTGGGAAGACCATTATGGTGGCACATAACAAGTTTGCGAACTTTTTTGCCAGTCAGCTCGATCGGAAATGAGTTTCTCGAGATTCATTTCATGATTCCGGTGAACAACTTTAGTTGAGTGCTGTGTTTGATATGGCCCTCCGGCTTCTGAAGACAATGGAAGTCATCCACGATCACAACCTATGAAGGTTAGCAATGGATGATCACAACCATAGACAGGTGCGGATATTTGCCCTTTCATTCTTTACTTTGGTTGATTTTCGTTTGATTCCATTTATTTGAAATGCCAGATTTTGACTATGGCTCAGTCAGCCCATTTGCTCAGACACGCGTCATGTTCCGACATGGCTTCGGCATTAGAGACTCTCGCTCAGGTGTGCGTGCCACGTCATCAACCGCGCGGCGACGCACGATGGGCGTTGCTTTGTTCAGGCGGCACGCCAACACACAGATTTGTCCAAATCATTCCATAGGGTTGATGCATGCGGAGAAGGACAGACTCGGACCTTCGTTGAGTCTCTCTACGAGAGAGAACTTCCTTCGAGACTGGTGAACATAGTAGCAGAATACCAACTAGCTTGAGTTTTACGCGATCAGGAAGACAAAGCGATCACCTCACAGCGAAAGCAATGCTCATCCAAAGATGCATCATGCAGGAACATGATACAAGAAACCCTGTTAGAGTCTTCGCAGTCTCCCCGACCAAGCGACAGAACCCAACCAAAACGACAGCTTAGCTGAGGCTGGTTTTCGACCAATTTCTGTAGACCTCAGGTCGTGTGTAATAGTCTTTTGTTTTTTCCTAAATCTGAACCAGAATCCAAGCACGATCCTTTATTCTTCAGGGGTCCAACTCTCTGTTTGGCCAGACCGATGTGCTCCAAGCTCGCCTGGGCTTTTTGGCTCTTCGGGTCGAAATGGTGCACAAGGATCTTCTGACCGCAGGTTTTTTTGGTCCTTGCCATATATGGCTGTGGGTCAACACCAATGGGATCCCATTTTGGGGTAGGTGCACCACCCATTTTAGTCCATTGTAGTGGGCATTGGGATGTTCACTGGGGGTACGAGATTTTGACCCATTGCCATATCAGGGTTTCCCAGGTGGAGTTACCCTATGTTGTGACCCGCACCTCTTTTGAGGTTTGATGAATTTGCCCAGAACCTGCACTATCCACGGGCCGTATCTTCGATTCCTCTACCCACTCACAAGGACTTGAGGTTTTTTCACTGCCAGGGTCCTTGGAAGTTCCCACATAAAACTTGGCCTTCCTTGTGAGTTTGAGGACCTTGCTTGCCCTTGTTTGGCAGGGTCGTTTAAAATGGACAACAAGTTGATATATTATGTTGATTAACCGGCGGGTGCCCCAGCTCAAAGTGTTTAAACGAGATCCTGCAGTGGAGGGACCAAGGAGCACAAAAGAGGTCACCCGGAAGCAGAGTTCTCTTAAGACGTGAAGAGGAAGGTTTTTTGGATTTCATCATAAACTGCAGGGAGTGTTTATCTGGCCCAAACCCTTTCAACGGCCCAGTCGAGCTAGGTTGTTGCTGGAGACCTTGTGTTACCCCTGTATGCTAGCTTTTCTTAGTTGGCAGGATACCCTCCTGACAGTTGATCTACCTGCCCGAATGATAACCCGCTAACCGATCAGGATGATCAGGATCAAAAAGCAGCTCAAATGATGAGGGTCGCTTGCTGTGGGATTCCTAAAGAAATTTGAGGTCGACGTTCAGCACCATTATTTTGCAAGAGTGCCGTCACACTGCGAATGGACCAAAACCCTGGACCATGAATCAATCCCAAGAAGAAGACTGGAACATCCCACCAAGCGGCGGCGTCCGTCCATCTATAGCACCAACAGCACCAGAAGGCCCTGCACCATCCAAAGAAGGAATCTTTTCAGGATCAGTCGCGATAAGCTTCTCCTCGGCGCAGGTCTTTAGCGCAGACGTGTCGGGCACGCACGACGGGGGTCTCTCAGAGTCCACACCCCCCGAGCTGCTGCCGCGCCGGCGCAGTTTTGTTTCCCCGTTTTTGTTTTCCGCTTCTTTTCTCCGCCTTTTTTTTCTGTGTTTTCCCCCTCCCCCCCCCCCCCGCTTTTTGTTGTTTTTTTTCTTCGCGGCGCGTGAGTCCTTCAGAGTACACCAGTGCTAGGGTTCCGCTACCAAAATAGACTACCGAAAAAAAGGTACCCTTATTCTAACCTCTCTACTGGAGGACCTAGCCAAGATGAGGGACATGTGCCATCTACTTTCACCCGGTACCCTGTTGAAGCTTGGTTTAAAGAAGCATCAAAAGGAAGGGCTTGTTAAATTTTTCTTGGGGCCATTCTTAGAGGTCCGGAAAGGTTAAGCTTTGGTTCGTCTGAATCCAAAAAGCGGGCGCTGAAGCGCAACCAACTGGCAACCCCCTGTACTCTTTTACACATGATTCCCTTGATGCAAAGGGAAATCGCTAGTAGACCTAGTTGACACCGGAAGCCTGATGCATCTTTGGCATCCCTTGTGAGGTATCTTCGGTAGAGTGTGTCCTTGTTCCGGGGCCCTAGGCCCTACAGCTCTCGTTTTGGTGTCCCTTGACATCCAAAGGCCTCAAACTTCGGACCGGCCTGCTCTTTTTGTCCGCCAATAGCAATCCATCCAACCACGACTTTCTCTTGTAGCCTAGGTCCCCCAGTAGTGCCCTTTTACCCTATTTTGGGGGAGGCTTCCCCTACCATAAAATTGACTACAGAAAAAAGGGTACCCTTATTCTAACTCTAATGCAGGACCTAGTAGCGTTGGCAAGAACAAGCAGCAATCGACCCAAATTTTGTTTCGAGCTCACTTAGGAGTATTCGCCCTCAGCCATGATGAAGGTTCCTTTCGTGGAGATTGCTTACTTCGAGTGTGGAAGTTATCCAGAATCATGTTTGATTCCCCCCTTGCCGCTGGTAAATTGGAAAGGCTACGTCAACCGTGTGTTCTAAACATCATCAAACTCCAAGACGTGAATCTCGCTTATTTTAATAGAAAGGTCGCAATGACCTGTAACAACCATCAGTTGAGTTCTTGTATGGGGGCGTGCGGGCGGTGGTTATTCCCATACTGCACGATCCAAGAACAAGCAAGGGGCGTTTGAAAGCTGGACCCTAGTTCCAAACTTGTTGGACCGAGTTTCTTAAGGGAACCAACGTGCTAAATCCAAAGGTTCGCAAATGGCCATGGTTCAAAACCAAGGGGATCCCATGTTGGGGGATTGAAATTCACCACGCATTTTAGTCTATTTTAGTGGTTGGATTGAATCGGATGTTCACTGAAAGGTAATCTGTGTCGGGGAGACCTGGTGGCAGTTCACGCTTCGAGCGCGCTCGGATGCGCCAGGCGCGATTACCCCGAACGGAGCAGCGCCCCCAGTGCTTGGCAACAGGTGACCAGTCACTCGAAACACTTCCCATCACGTCTGAGGTTGAAGCAAGCTTGAGCGCGATCTCGATTTCCGGGATCTGAGATGTGTTTCTTCCTTTGAGGGCTGCTTGATTTTAACCTATTATATAAGCATGTATGTGTTATTCATTATATATTATACACACGTCATGTACTTAAATGTGATGCGTACGATTTACGAGTATTGACATATGTGTGACTATTGTTGTTCTATTGATTGAATTTGCAAACTACATGTGTGTACTATTGTGTGATGGCGTCAATGATAGACTAACCAAAGCAAAACAAATACCTGCAATGATGATCATACTTCCTACTCATCCTCCACATAGCTGCTTGGACTTTAGTGGAGTGTGAGCACATATGAGTCCATCTAGCTATGGTGGTGTGAAATGAGTCAACTACATCCGTAAAGAGGAGGCGGATTTGTCCATTGCTAAGTTTTGAACCTGGCTGTCAGAAGGTTTTACAAGTGGCCACAGCTTTGGTGACCTTCCTGTTCTGCTTCCAAACTTGAGAAGCTTGTGTGCAGTATCTTCATCTCTGGGGCCCAAAAAAGTGAAGCCTTAGTCCCGGAGCAGATCCGCCGTGCCGTCTTTGGCCGGCTCGAAAATAGTGGTACCCAGCATGGGATATATGGAAACCACTTGGCAGAGGAGCTCCTGGGGCCCTGGCGGCCGTTCCGTCTGAAACCAGCGGTTTGCCCGTGGGTTCAGGTTGTCAAGGACACGGATTGAGAACTGTGCTCATTTTTTGGAGGCCAAATCGGATTTTTGAAAGTCCCTGAAAAGCTCCATGGGCCATTTGTCCAGCCCCCTGTTTAAACCTCTTGAGCCACACTTCTTTTTTTTCACCCTGAGGCTGGGAGGGTTTCTTCTGGCTGGCGATCGAAGATTTCCACGCCTACTTCGACACGGTCATCGAGTGCCGATTGCCCACGCCTCAGCTTCGCCTCAAACCTCCCGGGGTTGGGCTTCACACTCTCGGGGTTTGGCTGGACCGTGCCCGCTGTGGGAGATTTCACGGGGCTCCTGAAAAAAAGGATCGATACGTGGTGCGAGCAGTTGAGACATGTGGCTTTTTCAAGACCCACATAAAGTTGGAAACCACCATTTACAAGTTGCGATCTTCAGGTGTGTGATGTAAGGGCCCTGTTTCAACGGGAAACATGTTAGTGGTAAACTTGGAGGGAGTAGTTGGAGGACCCACCAGAACTTTGCATGGTTGTTGTTGGGAAACATGTTATGTTTCCCCAACAGCTGAAAGCTTTGTGGTCTCAGCCCAGATAGGCTCCGGGGTGGCCCGGGGCGGCACCGAGGGAAGGTTCCACGAGGGTTCCACCAGGTTTAACAAAAAGAGCACCGCATGCTGTTGGGGATATCACCTGAGCTTTTTGCTTATTGTGGTTTAGGTTGAACTCCAACCACTGAACTGCTAAAATTTACATTGCTGCTCCCCTTCCAACGTCAACCAAGTTTGGGGATATCCTAAACAAAGACAAGCCCGTATGGGTGTGACAGTGTGTCGTTTGTGATAGGTTGACTCGGGGATTTCCAAAGCGACACCACTCAATTTTGCGTTTCCACTATTCTGAGACAACCCCACATTGTAGATTAGTTAATCTGCCAGCTGTGGTGACCGCACATTCTACGACACGGAACGTCCCAATGTGAATAATGCTTCCTGCCAGCCACAGGTTGTTCGTTGCTCTGACACGGAACGGATCAGTTGCATTGCAGTGCGTGTGCCTCGACTGGCAGTGTGCTTCTTGAATATTGGCTTTGTTTCTTACTTGCTTCCTTTGATCGTATTGTTATCTTCTTCGTTGTTTGTCATTATTATTTTTCTCATTCTCATTATTTTCTTCTTCATTGGTTGATTATCTTCTTCTTCTCCGTTTTCTTCTCATTCTTCTTCTCCGTCTTCTTTTTTCTTCGTCTCGTTGCACAGTTCGCAAAGCCCCAGGACCAACAGCCCCGATGTGGGAATCGTGGGCATGCGCTCCTGGCCTGGTTCCCGACAAATCCACTCTGCCAGACGCTGGGCGAAGGACATCGCATCGCAATAGGAACCCCATCGCCCCATGCTCCCATGTTTGGGTCGGTGAATGTTACAATTCACCCAGACTCATGGGTTTGCACAGCTGGTTGTGTGTGGATATCATTGTTATTTTAGAGGAGATCCCTCACACATGTTTCGGAGGCGTAAATCCCAAACAGCACCTGCACCGCACATGCAACCGAATGTTTGATTCATCTGTCTTGTGTGTTTCTTTTCTGGATGAGGCGGGCCCCCGCCTCAATCATATCCTACCCATTGCGCTAGCTCGCGGCGTCATACTGCGCGGTGGCCCCGGCGACAGTCCCAGAGTGGTCGGCGAAAGACTGCAGACTGAGAACATGGCATGGCTGTTTACGATACAGAACTGGGAACCAACGTTTTGACGACCAGCCATATGGTGTGTCCACGTATTGACATACAGACATACAGACATACAGACATACAGACATACAGACATACAGACATACAGACATGCACAAGGGGGTGACCCTTCAGTGGCTCTTCGTGCCATGACACCAAAGCCATAGTTGACCCACCCCAAGTACTGTCGAACTTACGTGCAGGGTCTAAATGTCAATTAGTCTAGTGTTCCAGGTTCAAACACATAATGCTCGTGGGTGTTGTTGCTGTTCCAACCCGAAAGTGCGTACTCCAAGTTGCTTGAAACATACACCACAAAGGCCAACTATATATATATATATATGCCACGAATTCCACCTGTAAGCAGTTCCATGCATGCACGTAGGCAAGTCCCTACACCTATCCCCGGGCTATTCATGGCCCCGCCTTCAGCCCAAATTCCGGCACCCACCTAATTATTCCAGGACAAAAAGAGAAAACACTTCCCTGCCCTCCCCCCGAAGGGTCTCATAGTTCGGCTGATGTTTTGCACTCGTACCCAATTGAGAGACTTTGTTGAGGGGTCAAGGTTGGGAACATGAGCCCGGGTTGGTTGGAACATGTTTTTTTTCACGGCCAGATCAGAGGTCTTGTCAAAGGGAACCTAGGAGGATGGTTCTATATTTACTAAAACACGCTGAAGTTGCTTAAGGTGGTGACACGGGGACACGGGGTGCGATCAATGGCAAGCAAATGTGTCTTTCCAAAAAAAAGACACCAAAAAGGGATGGGTGGTTGTTGCGCATTTGTTTTGTTCTAGATTCGATGTTTAAACTTCAGGTGGTTTGCCCGAGCCTTCCCCAACTTTCTTTCAGCTCGATGCCAGGCCACCTCGGCCAGGCCGATGTGCTGGTCAAAGGGGATGGCCCGTGGAAATGCCAGCGTTCGATTTGTGGCGCAGGGTGTGTTGTGTAGGTGTTTCTTCAAACTTCTTCAAACAAAACATGTTATGGGATTGAGTCGCCTATGCTTATCTTCCGACTTAAACATGCGGGACATTGAGACAAGCGAGATCCTTCTGTTTGGATTCTCTAAATAATGCGCCCCTGTAATCGGGAATGCAGTTCCCTTTTGGATCTTCCTTGAGGTTCCTGAATGAGTTTGGTTCGCTTATGCAGGACCTGGGACAATTTGACCATGAGTTTCCTTCGGAGTGCTGTCAGGAGGGGGCACAAAAGGAAGCCTGTCGGGCTCCAAAGTGATTGAGACACTTGAACCCTCTTGAGCCACATTCGAACCGAGAAATGAATCGCGCGTGAATGCCCACCTGAATGGTGACCAGGGTCCGGTTTGAGACCGATCAGCTGGCGTGCAATGAGTTGTTTTCCTGTTGGGAGTTGATGTTCAACACCGCAATGCAGGTCACAGCTCGCGGGTTGGCTTCTGTTTGTTGCAATAAGACAAGTGTTTTGGTGGTCTTTCTGACTCAGAGCCCAGTGTGTTGGATTTGGGAAAGATGGTCTCTTTCATGTGCTTCAGAGGATTTGTTGATGTCGCTTGTGGCTGTCATGACTCATGACTGGACGGCAACTTGTCACTGCACCCCAAGAACATGGGTTGATCAATTTTCTTGGTCCCCAAAAGACCATGGACAACTGTTCCCATTTAGTGGTGAACGTCATCGTGTTGGTGGTTTCCCTATAGTGGTCACCCGACCCCATGTTTCGCGGAACTTTTGATCAACTTTCATGTGGAGACCTCCAAGATCTCTGAGATGGACAAGAGAATTGGTTCCGGCGCCCCGTGGATTCTGGGCTCCTTCCACTAAGGGTGCGATCGACGGAGGGGGCCCGAGAACAGGTTCTTTAGACACGCCAGCCGTTTGAAGCTGTCCATACGCCGCACCCGGGCAAATCCACCAAGGGGGCTAGCCCTATTTCTCCCAGGTAAAACCCGGGCGATTAAGCAGCAAACCCAGGTGAATACTCCGCTGAAAATTGACAGAGTCTCTAAACTTCACGCAATATGTTCACCCAGGTTTACCTTGTCCCATTGGGAGCGAAAAATACCAGCCCCTGATCTGAGGGTGGTTGATGCTTGCCGCAAGAGATCTTTTGTGCCCTGAGTAACTTCTACCGGTGACCTGGTGAGTTGGCAAACTTGAAGCTATTAGTTTGCAGGCATCCTTGGCATGATCCATTTGCTTAAGAATATGCTGTGTTTTCCCATGTTGGTTTCAATGGGAATCTATCATTGCTGGAAATATATTGTTTTTTGTCCAGTGGTCGAAGAAGCAAATGAAAGTCATTTGTTAGGCCAGGCACAACATATTTGGCCTTGAATTTTAATAGGGGACCACCTCAAACGTGTTGGTGGACATGAATCCCCACCAAATTTTGATGTCCACCAAAGGGCCCCTTATTAACTAGGTCCCCCAGTAGTGCCCTTTCTCACCCTTTTTTGGGGGAGATTCGGTTCCCCTACTAAAATCGACAAGACTGAAAAAAGTTGGTACCAACTTATTCTAACCTCTCAAGTCTGGAGGACCTAGGATAATGAATCCAATTCACAGGTTGGACGGGGATAAAAGCCAGTTGGACCAAAAAGAGATCAGCCAGTTGAAAGGCGTGTTTTTTGCCACTTCCAGAATAGCCACGGTTTCCGATGACTTTGTCCAAGTCCTTGTGGCACAACACTCAAAGGCTTTCACCCTTATTAAGAAAAAAAACGTCCAGGTTCTCCGGGCCCGTCATCTCAGCTGTGCCGCGGTTGCCGCTTGCCTCTCGCCTCGCATGGCCAGGCCCGGCGCCTGCGTACCTGGAGACCATCTTCGCGAACCCCGGCCGGATCCTGGCGCCGGGCGGCCAACACCTCCCGCCCTCCCGCCCAAAATGGGCGGCGGAAGGGAGAAACACACGGGGTGCTACGCTCAAAATGGGGAAGCCGCACCCAAAAAAATATGAGGTCCAGCAATTGGTGCCCTTCTTGCACCCTTTTTTGGTTGGGAGATGAGGGTTTCCCCTACTAACATAGACCACAGAACAAGAGCTGGTACCCTTCTTCTGACCTCTCTACTGGAGGACCTAGACGTAGACATAGTTTGCTTCCCTTTTGGATTTGTTTGGCAATGGCTTGGTTCCAGGTTCTTTTGGGGTAAGCAAATCATAGGACCGATTGAACACGCAGAGACCAGCTTTTGGAGAGAGTCTCTTGATTTTCACCCAAAGAGGCGTTTGAACAACAGACCTCTGGACCAAGACTTACCTGCCATTGAGGGTTTCTCATGTGTAGGAGGGTGGCCGCGCTGTACGGCATTGCAGTCATTTCCGATCACCGCAGCCTGGAAGGGCCTGAGGATATGAAGGTTCTTCGCTTGAAGATTCCTCGTTTCAGGTGTAAATTTGCCCACCCCCAAACTCCCTAAAGGTTTTTGCACTCAGTGCCCAGAGCCGAACGGATTCGTTGTGTGTAGATTTGTAGTGCAGCACCAGGTTCAAATCGATAGCAAACACCTAAAATGTATGGCGAGATGGGGTCAATGCACGAAAGAGAAGGAGCCCTATGGAGGTCTCCAACTGGAGGATCCCTTGCAATTTTCCCCGGCACATAATGAAGACCCTTCGCGTTTATGCCAGGTGCTTAGCCAGAATCGTGCCCGTCAATGGCCGCGCCAACGCGGTGTTGTTTTAGAGGGATGAGTCCATTTGCATTCTCCCTTCGAGGCTTGCTGAAGGCTTGGAATGTTGGAAAAGAAGTTGTGTATGACTGCTTGAGCCAGAAAAATGTTTGGTTTGTCTCCAAGTGCGTGAGTGATGTCCCGGGGGTTTTAAACGCTGATCCGACTCCAAAACGGGCTCGCTGTGCTTCGGTAGCCACGCGTACGCAACCTGACCGCCTCGCTTCACCTGCCTTCATGATGCTCAGAGTCAAGTTTCCCGGCGCCCATTCAACAAACCATCATCAAAGTCAGTCTTTGCCTGCTGGGAAGTGGGAAAAAGACCCAAAACTGTGTTTGATGACAGCTTGAACACCAATGACATGATGAGCTGATGAGCTGAGTTTTGCATAACTGTGATGTGCCAGGACTTGCCAAGTTAAGTGCTGCAGAAGCCTATCTGGGAAGTATGTCAACCGTGTCCAAAATTAGGCCACCCTTTGTATGGCTTATGAAGGCCATGTCTGGGATTTCTAGTTGTCTGACTTTGGTGACGCATCTTACTTGCCCAATGTCCACCTTCGAACCCGTGCCTTGTGTTTTTTTGGTTGGTTGCCATTCAATGGCTGCAGCAGCTGAGCTGTTCATGTCGTAGAGCGCCGGGGAAGCATCCCAGAGCGCTCCTTAGTGTCCATTTTCTTACAGGATGCTGCTCCCAGGACTCAAGGCAACTAAGGGACCCTTGGACGGAAAATGGGCCCGTCTCCACCTGGCCATGGGTCCAAACCCAAATCGTACCCCCAGTGAACATCCCAATCCCCACTAGAAGAGGTTCTAAAATGGGAGGTGCACCTATCCCAAAATGGTACCATTGGTTTTGAACCATTGCCACCTTTGCTTTGATGAATTTACCCAAACCTGGAAAGTCCGCCCACGCGGAAATATCTGCCCGTTTTCTCAAGGACAGACGTTTCCGCCTTTCAAGTCCCCGGTCCAAGTCGCAAAAAATGCCGTCGCTCGCAAGCTCGCAACGCAGTGCTCGAGTGTGCCGAGGCGACGCGCGCCAGAGGTCACCGTGTTGACCAATGGCCCCTGTGAGGTAGCTCGGCATGTGCGTGCGAGGGAGGTTCAGCACGCAGCCGTTTGAAGGCAATTGCAGAAATTTAGCTGTTTGGCTTAAGGGAGATCATCATGGCTGGAATGTGTTCAATTCTTTGATGGTATCTGAAGCAATTGAAGATGTATAATTAGCAGAAGATAGGCATTGGCATCAACTGTTGCTGAGTTCCTTTTGCGATGTCCGTGCACTTTGAGACTTTGGTTTTAAACAAGACCCGTGCCTCACTATTCACGGGTGGCAAGTGGTACCATCCTCCGGATTCATCTAGAGTTGACATCAGATCATAGCTTGCTTAATTTTCCTAACAGGCAACCACTTCAAGACGGAAACGTGTTGAACATATCCAGACCCCTTGTTAACTACCCAGCTTAGTTCACAGTGAGGCGCCCAAGCCGAATTATGGCTCCACCATTCAATACCAGTAGTAGCGCCAGGTTACTTGCAGGCCGTGTTGGTGCGGGGTGTCATCTTTTTGCCGTGCCGCTGTTGCGGGTGATTCCCAAATACTCCTTGTAATGTTCATGTACTCGTTAGGACGCCCACGATGCCTGCATTCGATGTAGAACAGGGTTCATGATTGACAACGAGACATTGTTAAACAAAAGAGACATGGTCCCCCCCTTCAAAGCAATCCGGGCTTCTTATCCTGGCAATTTGGTTTTCAACCAAGTTGCCAACGAACGGGTCCAGGACCTCGTAGATTTTGCATCTGGGCGAATGAACAACGGCGTGGGCAGAGCGATGTCAACCCGGGGTATGAACCATGGCCTAAGCCAGCTTCGTTGTTCTTATCCAAGGAACCAGCAAAAAAGGAGCTCAGTTTGTCGGAAGGAAGCCAACACCTCACCCATTTGATGGGTAGTTGCAAACCTCTTCTAAAGAAGTCCCCTTAGTTGATGTCAGAAGCATGATCTTAAGTTGCATCCAGTTTGACATGGGCCGGCATTGTCACAGCAGGTATTTGTCACCGCCCAGCAGACGGATTCGCGCATCACACAGGCCCAGGGGGGGGGGGGGGTCCCGCTGAGTCCATGAGAGTGAGCATTTTGCGGGTCCTCAAATTTGCTTTTGCTGGCTATTTCAAATTTTCTTTCCTGCAAACCACCTGTCGCTTGAATGGACACGGTTTCCTACCTGCCGAGCTGGCGTTCAGGAGGGCCGGAGTGGCGGTTTGTCCAGGGTGCCGAAAATACCGAACACGGAGGAGGGCCTGTACCAATCTTTTCGAGGGAACCTTTCTTGGGCTTGTGGCAAAAGGGAGGCCCAACGGAAACATCATGTTGGAAACGCCAAAATGCGGCGGGGGGGGGGACCTGTTTGCTGCTTGGATCTTTGAATGTTGAGTTGGCGGAAGCCTGTTTGCTGCTTGGATCTTCAAATTTGAGTTGGTTGAGCTGACCAGATCCAACCAGACAACTGACCAACAACCAGACAACCAGTTTGCTTTTCAACTGACCACATCGTGAGCCGTCGCGAGCCTCTCACCTCCACAGCCCGGCTGGTTGCCCGAGAGTGAGTCACTCGACTCTCGCGAGGTGGGAGACCGGCGGGCGCCCTACGTGCCAATCCTCATGAAGGTCTATGAGAGCCTAGGCCCGGGGGGGGCCCCAAATGCGCGGCAAAGGCCTAGGTCAATTGACCCGGACTTCCAGAACACCTTTTGGGGCTGGGAGGGGCCTAAACTTTCCGAGAAAAGGATGATCTATAAAATGTGCATATATATATGTGTATGTATATATATATACTGATATTTACTGCGGGGAAAGAATGTTGTGCTTCCCTTCTGTGATACCCGTGGGGAATTCCCTTACAGAGCGGTCAAATTCCAGCAAAAGGGTGCTTTGCTTGCCGCAACGTCTTTCCGAACGAGGAATGCTTCCAAGAGTGGCGTTGTGCGCTTCCGTGCTTTGCATTTCGCCAGACACACCTTGCAGCTTCGTATTGCGATTCAAGCTGTGTGTGTGGTGAAATGTGTGTTTGTGTGTTTGCTTTTTTTATTCTAAATTTTGTGGATGTTTGTAGAGGAGATAAACTCCCAATTAGGATCCGGTAGATCCAGATACTGAACTGGGTCATAGAAAATTATGTCATTCCCTTGGCGACTCCAACATCAACTGTACGACACTTTTCCCACGTGTTTGTCCTTTGCCTGGGGTATAAAAGGGAAAAAGGAGAAAATGTTGGGGAGCCCGTAAAATCAGCTCACCCATGGTCCCTGACCTGAGTATTTCTTGACTCAGACGTTTGACATATTTCTATAAATATGTCACATGTTGCAAGTTTCAGGTTTTCTGCGGGGAGCAGGTGCCCTTCGTCGAATTCATGTTGCTCGCCCTTTGGCCCTTTGGGTGTCCTTTGTGTTCCCTCTTAAGCCCTCTTCGTAAGGCAAGCACCTCATGTTCTTTGTAACGGATACATCCCCTTCACACTACCCACCTGACGAGGGCTCCCTCCAAACGGAAACTGATCTTCCAGCCGTTCCTTCCACAGGTGCCATGTTAGTAGGAACGGTACCCATGGCACTTGAGAATGACACAAAGGAAAAGGCATCCGTTCGCCTTTTGGCCATGAGCAAATGTGTGTCGGTTTGGTTTTGGCCCCCCGCGTTTTATCTTGTTTTGTTGTGTGGCTCCCTTTTTGTTTGAGAGCAGCTAGCACAGTGCGCCTAAGGCGCTTGGCACAGGAGCTCCTCCTAGCGGCCGTTCAAAAAATGAGCAATTGCCTCTCAACTTGAATTCCAAGCACCGGACCAAGCAAGTGAGAGCGCCCCCAAAAGCCCCACCTCGCAGGGGGACTACACCAGCCCCAAAGTGTCCATGGCGCCGAGGAAGACCTATGTCATTCACCATCTTTTCCGAACCCAAAGCGAGGTTCGAGGATCACTCTCAACTAAGAAACGTAAACATGGGACAGGGATCCATGTGTTTTTTTCTTTCTAGCAAACAAGTTGTTTGAACATCGCAAGTTGGGAAAGTGAACATCACAACTTGGACTAACATCAATTAAGCCCAGTGGTCGAGTTTTTCATCACAGTCCACCTTTCAAAGGTAACCCCTTCAAAAAAACATACGAGAAGAACACGGGTTTCACGTAGACTGCGACCATGAGAATAACCCTGGTTTCCACAGTTTTTTTTTGTTTTTTTCCGGGGGAAAAACCGACTATTTTCAGCCAAGTGGTCAAGTCCCCGGGGAATAGTCCCTTTTGCTTCTACCTTTTTAACGGTGCCCGTTAATAATGATAATCATTAAACAACAAGCGAACGAGGCAGTGGCAACGTCTACAGCGCGAACATGGTGTGCCGCTCCAACTGGATCCCCTCGCGCGATGCCATGGCCCGGCACCCGAGTGAGTCGAGTGAGTCGAGTGCGTCGAGTCCCGAGTCGAGGCTACCGTGCGCCGAGTCGGTTGGCTAGGTTTTCCAGCTAGGTGGCCTTTCTACCAAGTTTTTTGGGAGGGTTCAGCTACTGAAATAGACTACAGAAAGAAAGGGTAGCCTTATTCTAACCTCTCTACTGCAGGACCTAGTTGGTACGAAGCACTGGGACGCTGGTTCAGGTCACCCGACAGGTTGGTGGATTGGATTGGTTTGGATTGAATTGGTGGATTGGATTGGTAGATTGGTTGGATTTGGATTTGAAGCGGCTTTTGCAGAGTTCAATGGAAACCCTCGGATTCAAACCACCAAACCACCAATCCAAACAACAAACTAGAGAAAACCTAACTGTTGGTTTAGTTCGGTGACAACAGGGCAGTGATCAGCTGTCAACATGACTTCCTCCATATCAGGCCATTTTGGATAGAGTTTGTCAGGTCACGCATGCAGCTGTTTCCCTTTTGAAGTCATTTGACCCTGGATTAAGGCAGACCTGTTCTTGTTGGGTTTGAGACTGTCGTCCATCCTGTTGCTATGTTTGGCCAAACGTCAACCCGCAGGACGAAACGTCTGTGAGCACAGCACTGGGGCATTCCGGCTGGTTCGCGAGTGAGAATATATCAATATACAGTCCCTCGCCTTTGGTGATTTGGCGGTGCTTGAGCGAATCACTGCTATCGCTCATTTTGGAGACAACATAACATATGTGTGTCTGTGTGCTTTTCGAGATATTCCCCAAAGCTTGGTCTGTGGTCTCCACCCAAGAGCGCGGCTGATGCATCCAGCCTTTGCTATCGGACAGAGAGAGATAGACAGAGAGAGCACGCAATACTACCATGCTTAGCCGGGGGGGCGTTTCCAAGAGACAAACAAACACACATTGACCCTCAATGGAGGACGGACTTGCTGATCTAACCTCTAAGGTGGAGTTGCCGCTGGTTGCTTTTGGCCTGGGCTCTTGAGATACCGGCTTTTGGCTAGTTCTCAGGGAATCAAGAAGGGGTCTTGGGAATGAACCCAGGGCTCAGGAAGCCACACCTGAGGGTTGAAGCTGGTCACTCCCTCGGCAAGTGGGTCAACACGGTCGCTTGCCTAACTCACTGCGCAGCCCAGGGAGGGCATCAGAATCAAATCCTGGACCAATCCCCTTCCCCTGCGAGCTCACAAGTCCAGAGGGTCAGCGAGCGAACACCGATGTGGGTCCTTTGCTCAGTGTTGGAAGTATAGTAGGAAGTGCAGAAGAAACGGGGGGGGGTGTCCCAAAATAGGCATGGCCTAGAATGCGTGTGTCTTTTGTCCTTGAGGTTTCCCTGTAAACGCCAAAGAATAAAGGCTCCACTTTGAGATATTTGTTCGACCTGGCGCCCCAGGTCGCCTTTCAGACGGCTGGGCGAGGAGTTCAGTGGGGTCAGGTGGCGTTATTTTCTGTGTCTAGGTCCCCCAGCTAGGTGCCCTGTTTAAGCCCTTTTTTGGTTGGGAGGGTTCCCCTAGTAACATAGACACGGAAAAAAGGTTACCCTTATTCTAACCTCTTTATTGGAGGACCTAGATGTATATTGCACGCTTTTCTGGTGCGGTCATTGACATGCAGTGGATTGACATTAGCACAAGTTTCTATATGGGAGTCCTTCTAAAGGTCCTTGTAAGGTCCGCGCGGTCTGAACCGCGTTTTTTTCCCCGTTTTTGGGCGGATTGCAATATACACGGCGGGTTGGATGCCTTTCGTGAGACCGAACACCCTCGAATCATCTGTGGGTTTACAAAAGGGGTTAGCAGTGCAGTGCAGTGGCGAAAGGGAACAAGGCATCCCCAGCCCCGAATTGAGGAGAGGGTTAGACATGGAGTTTGATGTACCCTCAGTTGGACCTTCAGGCAACGAACCATATTGCCTGCACAGTTTGGTGGTCGCGGATGTAGGCATGCCTTTCAGATGTGTTGCGATTGCCAACAATAAATCAGAGCAGTTGAAAGAAGCAGGACTTGGCTTTGTGCCTTTTGAAGGAAAATGGACGCGCTAGAGGCATGAAATGAACTTGGACACCCGGATCCCTTGGTAAGCGGCAGGATATTGCAGGGGCCTTGGGTGTCCCTCAGGGAGGGGTCAAACAGCAAACAGGGCCCGTGTTTTTCCATCCATGAGCCTCGTTTTGGCCTCCATCCCCTCGTTCTTTGTGGGCCCGCAAAGCAAGGAACAGGATGCCCCAAACCCTCAGAAAGCTTTCGCAATGCGCAGGATCCTTCAAGGTGCTTGTGGAAATGCCGGCCGGGGCGGAATGCGACCGGCTGATCATCCGGCCGCCTCCCCAGATTTTCCGTTTTTCAGTGGAGTCCACCCTCTAGTCCACCCTTCTGTTCCAAGTTCCTTTCCTTTTTTGGTGGCTTCCCCGCTCAAAATGGTCAAGCCTCAAAAGGGCTTCTACCAGTGTCACTGGGCACGGTGGATCTGGGCGGGTGAGATCGGCTCAAGGGCTGTTGTCAACGATAGCCCCCTCTCCAAGAGAAACACATGCAGCTGAAATGCGTCATGTGCCAAAGGGGTATGTGTTAAAGCAGACAAGTCTTAGCATGTCTTGACAATGGCATGTCTCCTTTTTGTTTCTCAGTTGACATCTAAAAGGGTGCCCCAGGTTGCAAAAGCTGTGAGTTCTGTAAGCTTCAGCTTTTTTTCTGGTGGGAAGGGTTTCAGGCTTCCACAGTGCCTGACTAAAATCCGCAACAGGAAGGTGGGGTCGGGGGCAGGGGGCCGGGGGAATGCGTCGCATGGAAGATTGGATGCCAGTCGATAGTTCAAGCCTCGGCGGCGGCGACAGGCGCGATGGCTCACGAAGGCGTGCTGTCCGAGCGTGTGCCGGGTGCTGGGCTACCTGCTCTTCGACTTCGCGTGCGCCCAGGAGCATCATTTGAATCAATGAAACCTCTTGGCTGAAGTTCGAGAAGCGCTTCAAGGTGGCGAAGGACGCTGGCTACCCATTTGAGCAGGCTGTCTGAATATCACAACACTTGGATGACACTCCCTTGCCCGCAATCCACTTTGTTCGCCCTCCTCCTCATTTTGGGCTTCTTCCGCTCGGCACTTTGCTGGTCTCTTCCACTCTACTTGCGCTCTTCTGTTCGCTTTCTTGATCTCTTGTTTTTTCCCTGGAGCTGCCTTCTTGTTTCCCCCGATGCTTCTTCTTTGGATCTTTAAGGACGCCCTGCGATTTGTCGTCCTCCCCGCCAACTTTGTGTTTGCTCCTTTCCAGCTTTCTTCCTGCTTTGCCTCCACTTCTGTTCCTCGCGGATTTGCCGCACGAGCCTCGCTATGTCGCTTTTCGCAAGTCGCATCCTGAGCGTATCTGGTTGCTTCGGCTTCGCTTGCGCATGTGCATGCCCTGATTGGTGGACCTGTTTTTGTCCGGACCCGGCCTGTGAGGATTGCCTGTCCATCACGGGCGTGTGTGGCATTCTGCAGCGGGACTTGAAGCTCAGCGGTTCATGAGTTCGAGCGCCATGCATACGCGCAGAGGCCAGGTGGATTTTTTGTTTGGTGGACATGGCTTTTCCCATGACTCTCAGAGCTGTGAGCAATACCACGTGGCAAAAATGTAGCCCCCGCAAAAAAAATCGGGGGGCGGAGCGGCCGCCTTTCCCTCAGTTAACATTAAATGTACTTACCACTGGCCAAACAGTCCGAACTATGTTCCCTGTTTATTTCCACTGGTCAAAGAGTCTAAACCGTTCCCTCAGTTTATTTCAGGGAGCTACAACTCCTCTTTTGCGACGCTGCTTATTCAACGATATCTCCGGGCTCGGGATCCAGAAGGGGGCATTGAGGCGTCGTGACCCCAAAACCCACCCGCCTTTTCGGTTGACGCAAGGCTCCATTTCAGGAAAGAGGAGGTCGTTGAGAGGAAGCCTGGGACCAGTTTGAGGGAAGGTCGCGTCGCTGAACCTGGCAGTAAAGCTGTCAATGCCAAAAAATATGAGACTAACATGTTCTGGGGGGTCCTTGTGATGGGTCCATCGACCCCTGCCTCAGCCAGCCAAGCGAGGCGGATCCTGTTTGTGCTTCATCTAAGAAAAGGCACTTGGGACACTCGAGGTGCTACTCCAGCAGTCCTGCAGAGTTCATGGTGCACCCGTCCTTGCCCTGCCGCCATGGGTTGAAACAAATGCAAAACGGGGGTGACTTGTGAGGGAAGCCGAAATGTTGGCACGTTGAGAAAGCGAAAACTCACGTGGTGTTGAGGAACACCAACATTCTGGCGTGCCCTTTTGAGGCCTGCATGTCACACTCCAGGCAAAAAAGCGGAAGATTCGTTTGCCAATCTTGCCCACGGGGGAATCAGTCGAATTTTAGTTCCGGATGAAATAGTGCTACCTTACACCGGAGTGTGTCATTTCGGGCCGTACTCCCGGGGTGTTTTGCAGCAGCCATTGGATTCTTCGGATTTTGCGCCCAACAGCAGAGGAACAAACAAACCGGGTGCTTGCTTTAAACCAAAAAACAAAAGCGAACATGCGAAGACAAAGGGACAAACAAGCAAACCGGGAGCTTGCTTTACAAAACAAAGCAAAAACGCGGTGCCTCTTCAACCCCAAAGGGGTCCCAAAGGCTAGGTCCCCCAGCTACGTGCCCTTTTACCCTTTTTTGGTTGGGAGGGTTCCGCTACTAAAATAGACATAAAAGAAAGAACATCGGGTACCAACTTACTCTAACCTCTCCACTGGAGGACCTATAAGAGGGGTCCCGAAGGGGTCGTCCCACGCACGCAAGTCGTGCCAGGGCCAAGCACTTGCTGGCGCTTCCGCAGGCTCGGGTCCGGCCGTTGGGCATTCGGCCGAGGTAATGGGTGGTAACCTAGGTTATAAGTCCTAGGTAGTGCGCAACCTAGGTAATAAGTGGTTAGTAGCGCAGGTAGTTTGTAAGTGGTTAGTAACCTAGGTAGTAAGTGATTAGTAACCTAGGTAGATAGTAAGTGGTTAGGAACCCAAGTTAGTAAGTGGTTAGTAAGCTGCTTCGAAGTCCCAGTGTAGTTGGCCTAATTGCAAGTAGTTTAAAGCCTAGGGCAAGGAGACCAACCACGGAGACCAACCACATACTGACTTGGCCGATCACCCAAGTTGCCCCCTTTTGCAAATGTTAGCTGAAAGTGAGTTGGGTGCCTCGTCTTTTCTGGGAGGTACCCCCTTTTCGTAATGAATGGAGAACCATTTTAAAAACCGTCTCTCGCCATTTTGGGGGGTCCCCGAAAAAGAAGAAAACACGACAAGCAAAGAGAGTTTCCTTGTGGGGTTGCGGCGAGGGGGTGTCCCGTGTTGTTTCCTTTATTTGTGGGGTCCATCTAAAAACAACAACAAAGATGGTTGCCCCTTTTCGGAACAGAGCACCCAAATGAGTTTGAATCGACCCATCTGGAAGAGCAAAAGCCTTGGGGACGAGATGTCTGTTCTGCACCTACCCAAAAATGGGGAAAGCGTCCCTGTACACTCCATTCAACATATCAAGGGTCGGCTACAAGCTTTCCTGTTGGATTAGCACACTGTATGTTTCTTGGCAGGTTTCTTCATTATTTGGTCAAGGGCCGAAAAGTGAATCATCTGAGGTCAGCAATGCCCACAACAGGTTTGGAGATCGCTTCTTCGGCCTCTTGAAGTTGTGTTTTCTTTTGTTGGGGTGATGCTTGCGAATACAAAGGGAACCCTCTTGATTTCCTGCAGTCAACTCCAAGCTGGGACTTGCAGATCCCATCACCAACGCTGTCAACAGGGGCCAAGGGCAAATGACCTAAGTACTTGGGCGCCAGTCGATAAAAATCTAGACGGCCCGGGTTCAATTCCAGCTAGGCACCCCACCTCCGAGTTACCCCCCTTGTGCCATGGACACTTAGATTTTACGTTGCAGCCAAGAACCCTAAAAACCAGTACCCTAATGAAGCAGGTTGCAAAATAGACCCTAAGTGTCCATCATAGCCCCCCCGCCCCCGCCCTTGAAGAACAGCCCGCGACCTTTTCAGGGGCCGCCGAACGCCTCCAGATTCTCCTTGGTGGGTACTTTGGACCATTCAAGGCGCAAATGGGCGTGTCAGCCGTGTGTTGTTTGGTGTTGGTTTGATGGCCTTGTGGGGCTTTGTTGATTTGTTGACTTCGTTGCAGCGGATGAAATCGTGAAGTTGGGTTCAGATCACCTTGGATTGCTTTAGGTGTGTTTCTGATCAATGCTCCTTCTTGGGGTTGTATGGCTCGGCTGTTCACTGACTGAAGAAAAAATGAGAACTGAGATCAACATGGCCGCTACGAAACGCATCTTGCTCGATCAGCATTGACTGGACAAAACTCATAACGAACGTATCCAGTTGACAAGTTGTTGATATACCAGCGAGTGCATCCAATTTCAATCCAATGACCTTGAATCGAAGCGTCTGAATATATGTTTGTGATTCCGGAGGAATCCACTCTACACATATTTGTAGATAGTGAGGCTTCGCCCCATTTTCTGAAACTACTGGAATCCTTTTTCATGTGACAAAGTAGTCAGAAGGGTGGCCAAATTCGATATCACAACTTCATGCTGTTTCCCTCATGATCCCTGTCTTATTTGGTATGGTTGATTGCATAATGGGCAGAGTTTGATACTGCGGCGTATCATGAGATTAGGGGCTCATAATGACATCGCAAGAGCTGCTTGCAACTATAGATTATTATTAATCGTTGGGCTTGTCGCATGTTGCCTGACGACGCGCGGAAAGGGCAATGGAATGTCATGCAATTGTGTCATGATTACCTCGGGTCAGGATTGGCTGTGACAACCCTACGCTTCTTTCCTGATAAAGCAAGTGTAAGTACTATAGGCATATTTGCATAGAACCATACAGAAATGTAGTGGTACCTATATATATATACAGAGTTTCATAGATATATTTGCTATACATGTAGATACGTACGCCCCGCATTTGTGGAGCTTAGCTCGCCAGGGTGACGCGGGACGATGCCCCGGAGCCCATGGGCGACGACTTGGATACCATCAGGCCGAATGATTCGGGAGATGGCGTCTGGGGCGCAGTCTTTCAGCGTCTTATCTAGGTCCCCCAGCTAGAAGTCCTGTTTAAGCTCTTTTTGGTTTGGGATAAATTAGGGTTCCCCTAGTAAAATAGACCACCGAAAAAAAGAGTACCCTTATTCTAACCTCTCTACTGCAGGACCTAGTTGTTTCCCCAAGTTTGAGGGGCGCTTGGTACATAGCCCTTGGGCAAATGAACCCAAAAAGCTTGCAGCCCTTTTACATAGCCCGGCAAATGAACCCACAAAGCCTGCTAGGGGTGCTTTGTACATAGCCCTTTTACATGGCCCGGCAAATGAACTGCTGAGAGGCCTGCTGATGTTCATACCCCTCTCCCCAAAAGAGGCATTGGTTTCAACTAATAAGGAAATGTTCAATTACAACGTCCATCTTAAATTAGAGTTTAGATACGAACTCCTTTCCAAACACGGACGCAATTTAAGTAGTTCGTGCTTACTTAAGCTAAACATCAAAGGAGGACTTCGTCCTTGCAAAATATGATTCTATTGTTGTTTGACTAG